GTAGAGTGTAAAATCTTACATTTTCTTTTATTTCGTATGTATTTATATTGTACATATTTGCATTTGCACTCTTTCCAAACTGAGCCCAAATTATAGTATTAGCCAAGTCTCAAGCTACGGGAGGACCCTGATTTAACATTATTGGTGATCCCATGAGTAACCTTATTAGATGGTAGGAGTGGACAAAGGCAATATATGATAGTACCAGAACCTATAGGCGAGCTGATATCACATCTCCTCCCCACAAGGGCCCCACAGCACATCCCCGCCGTGTATTGGAGATGTTCTCAATACACTGTGAGGATGTGCTGTGGGGCGTTGTGGGGCAGCCCCTCGTGAGGAGGAGATGTGAACTCCGGTGAGCCCTCTTATCACCAAAGTTTATACTAATAACACCGAAACACTGAAAAGCTCTTACTTGGACGCCATAGGCTTCTACAACTCCTCTGTTGTTCTTAATAATAAAACTTAAATTTGACTTACTTGTGGCCTTCCCAAAAGCCACATTAGAACTTAGGCTGCATTTGGCATTCTTTATTTGAAGGACTTGTATTCTTTTTGTTGTTAAAATACCCTTATGAAGAGTGAACACAGAATTTTTAACTGTAAAAAACGAGATAAATCCTTAAAATAATGAATGCCAAATGCAACCTTAGCTTGTAAGAACCCTTGTGGGGTTGGGGATCACCAAGGGGCCAGCCATGGGTTGAGATCAATGAAGGCATGCAAGAAGCTTTGGTCTAGGGGTGTCAATTGGACTGGGTTTGGTCCAATCCAATCCAGTCCATTGTGAGTCCATTATAAATGGACCAGGTTCAATCCAATCCAATGAATATTTTTGACCGGTCCAATTGATAGACCAGGTCCAATCCAATCTAATACATATTTTTACCGGATTGGTCCAATCCAACATGTCTTGTTGGTCCATCCAATCTGTGCAAATTGGTTTTGGACTAGACTGGGTCCAATCCAAAATCGGTCCATTGACACCATTACTTTGGTCCAATAAGCCCATTCCACTAAGATACTTCTCAATACATGTGGACTGAGCTCTTTCTCTCTCTCTCTCTCTCTCATGTAAACACTAACATTCCTTGCCTTCCAAGGATGTCAACAAATGAGGGCAACCAACTCACATTCTTAATTGGTTTGGTCCTCAAAAACCCAACTCCTAAGCCATTCAGATGACCCAACCCAAATAAGTTGGCTAAATGAGCAATACAAGAGGGTGTGGGGAACTAATTCCTTGCATTGGAGACATCTATCTAGGATAACATTCATTTGCCAAGATCTTTAACCACTTTTAAGATGTCATTTTTTGCTTGGGCGTTGAGACAACCATGTCATAAGCTTGGAAGGAGCGTTAAGCTTCCAAATTGCTTTCCAGAGCCTTTGCATCTCAATGAGAGTCGTTTGAACTTGAACCCTTTCACCAAGAACATGGCCCCTAGACTAGCCGCATGGTAAGCGGACCTCGTTGAGGTTGAAGGACTACCTAAATCCTCATGTACAATCGCTATTCACACTTTGATCAACTAAGGCTCAATTTGGACGGAGTGCAAATGCAAATATGTAGGGTAGGTTTTGCACTCTACATATTTGTATTTGTACTTCTTCCAAACCAAGCCTTAGATGCATATTCATAATTGCATTTGGTTTATATATGTCCAGAAAATTTGAATTGATATTGCTCCCGTTCTATCTCTTTTGAAAATGGATGTTTAATTCATTCACCTTTAAAGAGTTGATAGCCACTTGGTTACTATGATGACATATTGTAATCTGGTATTAAGCATGACTTTTATAGTGTATATGCATATAAATATGTACTAGCGGAGGGCCTTGTTTTACAGGGGCTATAATGGAATCGTTGACATGTTGACTCGATTCCTAGCCAAAAATTGTTGAATCGGTCAGCGATTTATTGACCCAAGTGATTAAATTGTCGACTCATTCAATGATTTTTGGCCGTTTTTTTTTTTAATTGGGAACCATATATGCAATCGGTTTCATTTTATCATAATCTCAGTCATTGGCAAAAAATCATTGAATCAGTCAACGACCCATTGACCTAGGCAGTCGAACCGTTGACCCATTTAATGGTTTTTGATTGTTTCTTTTATTTTTTAATTTTTGTTGTCAGAACGGGCCATTTGGTCAAACCGTTGACCCAAAAACCGGTGGCCATAATGGTTCCGTCTTTAGGTCATATGAGTCACATGCTTGAATGACATAACACGTATGGTACTGCTTAATGAACCTCACACACTCAATTTTTTGCTTGTAATTTTTTTGTCATAACGGGTCATCTGTTTTTTTATTTTTTTATTATTTTTAATTATGAACCATTCAGGCAACCAGTTCCGTTTTACCCCAATCCTATTCCCTAGAAAAAAAGCGTTGAATCAGTCAATGACCCATTGACTCGAGTGGTTGAACCGTTAACCTGTTGACCCATTCAATGGTTTTTGGCCTTTTTTTTTAATTTTTGTTGTCAGAACGGGCTGTCCATTCGAATCGGGCGGCCAAATCATCAACCCAAAAACTAGTGGCTGGAACGGTTCCATTTTCGGGTTGTATTAGTCACACTCTCAAACGACATAACACGTATGATACTGCTTAATGAACCTCACACACTCAATTTTTTGCCTTTAATTTTTGTTGTCATAATGGGTCGTCCTTCGAACCGGATGATCGAACCGTCGACCCGAATACCGGTGGCCATAACGGTTCCATAAATTTTTGCTTGTAATTTTTTATTGTTAGAATGGGCCGTCCGTTCGAATCGAATTGTCGACTCAATAACCAGTGGCCAGAACGGTTCCATTTTTGGATTGTATGAGTCACACACTCGAATGACATAACACGTATGGTACTACTTAATGGACCTCACAAACTCATTTTTTTGTCTATAATTTTTGTTGTCAGAATAGACCGTTCGTTCAAACTAGATGATTGAACCGTCGACTCTAAAACCAGTGGGCAGAACGGTTTCGTATTTTTTTTGCTTGTAATTTTTGTTGTTAGAATGGGCCATCCATTCAAAGCGGACGGTCGAACCATTGGTTGTCAGAACGTTATTAACAACATTTATCAACAATAGTAAGTAATTATACTATTTAGTTAAATAACCATTAATGATAGTTTTAATAATATTATTTAGTTATTTTTAATATAATAGTAAATATTAAATTTATGAATAGGATTTATTAACAATATTCATTAAATTAATAATTACCAAAATTAAATTAAATTAACAGTATTTATCACACAATAGTCAGTAATTATAATATTTTATTAAATAATCAATAACAATACTTTATTTTTGATATAACAATAATTACTAAATTTATTAACAGTATTTATTAATAACAATATTTATAATTTTAATTTAAAGTAAAATTAATGTAAATATTTATTTATTAACAATATTTATAATAACAGTAATTATTAATTATAATCACTAATTATATATTTATTAAATTACTGTAATAATCAGTAATTTATTAACAGTTTTTATAATTTTAAAGTAAATATCTAGTTATTAACAATATTTATAATAACAGTAATTATTAATTATAATCACTAATTATATATTTATTAAATTACTATAATAATCAGTAGTTAAGATATATTTATTATATTATTATAATAATCAGTAATTAATAGGGTGCTCTCACGTGAGAATCTAATCCATTTGCTGCATGGAGAGAACACCCTATCCTGAGTCCGGATTCAGTGGACCCCTGAGTTCGCGGGGCGCGTGAACCTCAACTAGGAGGCGTGCACGTCGCCCCTTCGAAACAAAGAGTATCTTTCGTTGCCGTTAGGTTAAATAACCGTGAATTGGTTGACCCGGGCAGGAATCGAATGAGAGGGAGAATATTTCCTTTCGTTTCAACTCCCTCTCTCCCCCATTTTCGAGTCATCTAAGCCCTAGTTCAAGAACACAGAAACCGGCGGCATCCTCACTGATTCACCGACCTCCGGTGGTGAATCATTCAACCAGTGACAAGCAGGACCCTAACCCTAAATCAGCGGCAAGTGGTCTTCTTCTTCCTATCCTCAACCGACCGCTGGTTGGCATCTTTATTTATCTCAGCCTATCAACACATTTGATGCATATTGTTTTTGTTTTTCTTTATTTTTGTTCAACAGCACCGTATTTTTGAATGTCAATCACTTTATGTTTATCAAATGGCAAATACATTTCAAATTGCAGCCATTTTGTTCAACATCACCGTATATATTGGCATCTCAAAATGAATTGTGCAAAATGTTGAAATCAATCTGAACAGAACAAATTTCTGGCTGAACCAGTCTGAGGAAACTAAATGTTGGTGAGTCCAAAATGAACATGTGGACTTTGAATATTAATAGTTCAATTTCTGGTATTAGATGCACAGGCCAGCAACCGCCGGTGAAGAATGAAAAAGAATCCCAAGGGTAGGGTAGAATCCTAACCTCTATGAGAAGAAGAAGAAGAAGAAGAAGAAGAAGAAGAAGAAGAAGAGGGAAATGTAGTTGCTGGTTGAATGCTGCCGTTAGACGTTGGTGCCGCCGGTCACCACTACTAGCGGTCTGGTTAAAGACTAGGGTTTAATGAGACAGAGCAAAGAGGATTTCGGATTCTAGAGGAGAAGAAGAGTTTGTTCGTTTGAGTACCCGGTCGAAATGGAGTAGATTTTCTTTGTTTTAAAGCTTTGCATACCCGGTTCAACCATGCAATTCGCCGTTAAGATAAGAATCCAGTTAGTTTTCCTGTTAAAAGTACAAGCCGACGTGTTTAAAATTTATTGGAGGGTGCAATGCATCTTGTGGACGGAAGGGTCCACTGAATCCGAGCTCCCCTATCAATAAATAAGTGATTATTCGTAGTTTTAAACAATTATTCAATAATCACTTATTTTTAAGATTTGCAATCCCAAATTTGGCCTCAGGCGAAATGATCAAGAAATTCCACATGATGATGGCCACAGCATAAGCGTTCAACATTACATTAGTTCTATCCAGTAGAGTGCCAATTTTTTTTTTTCGCCACCGGCAAGTGGCAATGCGCTCCACGATAATAGAAAGCTGAAGAGCAGTCGGTTAATCATCAAATGACAAAAACGCCCTCCATAACATGCGTCAACGTTCCTGGAATCATCAGAAGTCTCCTTATGGATTTTACAGCTTATTAGGGCAAATAAAATAGGGAATACGGATACCCAAAAATTGGCCATTTTCTCATGAGCTTATTAACCTCGGATATTCTCTCGGATCAGAGGCTATACGCACAGAGCCGCAGAGCGCATCTATTTTTCGCATTTTCTGTCAACTCCCTCCAAAACCCTAAAAACACTAAAACCCTGATTTTGGTCTCTCTATCTGCATGGTCTCCTCGCTCTCATCTGCTGCAGCTCTGGATCGCTTGATTTCTCTTGGAGATGGAACAATCTTGGCGCTTTAGGCCGCTTCAAGGTAATATCTGCCCTACCTGTTCAACTTCTCATTTTCCTTTTTGTCCTCATCCACCATTATTCGATCAAAGCGACTTCGGAGGTGAGGGCCTCCGTCGGTTTCCGTTAGAGAACGATCGCCCGTTTCACAGACCCTTTTTCGATCCTTTTCTGGATAACCGGGGCTCCCCGGGGATTTCCCGTCCTCTATCGCATTTTAATGGACATCCTAATTCTATGATGCCGGTTCCCGGGCATCCGAATGATGCATTTGGAAATTCACAACCTTGGCCTAAATATCAGAATCACAATTCAGATAGAGATTCGTTTCGGCAATTTCCTCTCCCGTCACAATTCACAGAATCTGTACTAATGAACGGGGTTCCCAGGGATGGATTTCATCCTCCTCCGTATGATTATGGTGGTAATGAATTTATGAGGGGGGAATTCGTTGAGAACGACAGAATTCATAAGAGAACGAAGGTTGATGAGATGAGTGCCAGCTCTTTTATACAGGGACCACCACCAGTTCGCAACGAGTACTACCCAAAACAAAGTAGAATCTCAGCAGAGGATGAACGGAGATTGAATTTGATTCGTGATCACGGGGGATCACCAAGCGTTGCACAGCCAAAAGGTGTGCTGGGAACAGGCTCGGGTCTCGGTCCTGGGACAAATGAATATTTTCATAAAGATCCACTTCGCGATAGGAGTTTCAACAGCGTTGATAGTGGCGCATGTGCCAAATTTCACGACTGGCCACCGAAGCATGCAAGCAACATGGGAGTGAACGGTTGTCGTGATTCAGGGTTTGGGCCTACTGATCGTGAGGGAGCTCTTTTGCATCCAGAACATGGCCTAGACACGCGGAACCATTCCATGCAAGGCATTGCATATGATGAGAAGGGATTCCACACCGGTGAACACAGGAATGGGTTCCGGTCGGATGTTGAGTATGGTTTCCCCCAAAACAGAGAAAGGGGTACCAATAATGAGTTTACTGATACGCAAAATGAACATTCCATGCACTCTCGTTATGGTCAGACAGAAAATTCCTTGCACCACTCTTTGCAGAGTTATGGGCCTAGAAACATCTCACCAGTTGCCCCTGATTATATTGACCTCACCAGGTATTATCAGGAACCATTGGCTCTTCACGAAGAAGAAGTGTATCAACACAAGAAGGGTGAGTTCAACCAGCAGCCACAAATTCCTCATCAGATGCCTTATCCCACTTCACAAGGTTCCCATGAGACATTCAGTAACCGAGATCTTCAGCGAAATCAACTGAACAAATTTATGCTATCGAAGGAACCCCAGTATCCCCAAGCAGCTAGCTGGCAGGTGCCTTCAGGATCAAACATGCCACAACATGAGCAGGGATCCAATATCCCTGTTGAAAGCTATGCATCTAACACTCAGAATTCCCATTCATATGCATTGCAAAATAGGAATGAAAACAAACATAATCTCAGAGATGCTAGTCAGCCTTTTGAAGCTAAACCTCCACCACCAGCAGATGCTCAGGGATCAGTTGGTTCCCAGCTTTTCCCTGTGGTGGAACAATTTAGTTCACAAAATGTGAACAGACAAGGTGGGTACTCATCATTTTCCACCGTAAATGATGTGGCTTCAACAGTACAAGTGTCTTCTTCCCGGGCATTTGGCACACATCCTCCTCTGCCTCCTTTGCCGCCACCGCCTCTTCCAGTGGAGCCACCAGGGCCACCACCACCACACGTGGAAGTTACAACTTCACCTTCCAAAATATCCTCTTCAATATTTCCTGTTCCCACTAATGCTTCAGCTACTGTGCCTCTGTCACTACACCAACCAGCTCCAGAAGTCCAGCCTTTGGCACAGGCCTATTTTCACAATAAACAACATTTCCATTCTTCAACTGGTTTTATCATGGAGGTATAGTGATCTATACTCATGATTTTTTTAGTTTGTTTTATTTCTCTTGTTTTATTTGATGTTGTTGGGAAAAAAAGGTTAATGTTTTTAACAGAGAATAAGAATTTCCATGTGTGATACATGACGATCATCAAGTCCATTGTTAGTAGTGGCTTGATGTAGGCTGTAGGCACCAATGAACATACTGGAACCTTATCCCATAAATGGACAAAAATGTGAAACTGTTTAAAAACTAACATTCTGGACCAGTTTCAGCACAGCATGTGATGTATATCAATTATCAGGTCTAGTTGTTAGTCTAATAAAGAAATGGGTTTTTTATTAGAAATATATCAAGGCTAACTTTATCAAGGTTAGGCAAAAAAAAAAAAAAAGAATATGAAGATAAGATGCATTCTGGGCTAAGAGCAGCCCAGAATTTATGTTTTCATTTGAGACATAATAGACAAGATTGAATCTGCCTGGTGGGTGGTGCTGATAAAAAAGATTGAATCTGTCTGGTTGTGAGTTTGGTCTGTGGTATTACCAAATATATGCAAAGATCAATAAAATTGGTTCACCTTTTCATTTGCATGATACTTCTTTTGAAATCTGATCCTATTGTTGTGATTATACAATGGAGTGGATCCCATTCAGATGTAGAATTTCTCTTGCACTTCTGCAGGGATCACAAGTCATCCACCAGCCATCATCTAAACAGTATCTGGATGAAGGGAGGCCTTTCCCAGTGAAGCAACCATCTCCAGATAAACCAAAGGCTGTTGATGCTTCTTGCTTATTTAGGAAACCTCATCGAGCTACTCGGCCTGATCATATCGTGATCATCCTTCGAGGTCTTCCAGGTAACTTCATTAGCTTGAAATTGTTTATTACATGCCTTCAGTTAATCTTACCATGACTTGAATGATCTGTCTCAAGCCATCACCAATATCTATATTCATATCATCATCATCATCATCATCTAAGCCTTATCCCAACTCTATGGGGTTGGCTACATGAATGCTGTATCATCATTCTGTTCTGTTTAACACCATATCCATCGTTAAATTATGAGTGCTTAGGTCATTCCTTACTACAACACACCCTTTTTGGTCTGCCCACAGCTCTTCTAGGTTCTAGCCCCTTCAACTTGCAATAGATCGCTTCTTCTTACAGGTGCAGTAGATGGTCTTCCATGCACCTGACAGACCATTTTAGTCTACTTTCTCTCATTTTATCACCTATTGGAGCTTATCCTTTGTTCTGTCAAATGCCTTCATTTCTGACCTTATCCTTTCTTGTTTTTCCACATCTATCTCAGCATACTCATTTCTGCCTCTTGCTTTAGATTGGTTAATTGCTTGTCATAGATTCTCATTTTTGTGCATAATTATTCAAGGTGCTGTTCTAATTCGCAAGGTAAGAAGTAAATATTGAGCCATCTAAATAGAACTGTTGATATTTTGAGGTGGTTTCTCTACATGTTTTTTGCTCCCTTGAAAACATAAAAAACAGATTTTTTTTTTTTAAATGTAAAGATCAAAGATAGATGCATTAGTGAAAAAGCAAAAGTGCGAGGGAGAGATTCCCTCAATACAGCTCTAGGATAACCAGTGCAAAACATCAAGAACTTGGATAAGGGATAGGATGATTACAAACAGAAAGAATCTTTCAAAAGGCGCACACCTGGTGCGCCTGATGCGCCTTGTGCCTCAGCCCAGACATTCATCCTAATAAAATGTCTTCTTAAAAAGCAATTAAAACTATAAAATCATTATTTTTTGTGTGAAAACTAAGAATTTAAGACCTAATGTGGACTTGTTTGGGCTTGCCTCGAGGGGCGTGGCACAAAGGCGGCTCGTAGAATCAGGAATTTAATATGTTTTACATTACATTAGCTACTTGAAGTAATGCAA